TATTGTAGAAATAGTCATTTGTAATGATTGTAGTTTTTCATAATCGAGGCTTCCTAAAGAAGAACTATGTTTATGAGTTGATAGAAGAATATTTTCTTCTTGTTCTTTGTCGTTTTTTTCTTGTTCTTCATCGAGGGTTACCACCTTGTCATTGAACTCTGGAGATGCAATTATTGTTGATAAAAATTTTTCATTTTGTCTTATTATTGGTAATGCTGAAGTTTTGATTGTAGAATTATCATCCATATTAGACAAATTAATACTAGAAGAAAAAATAAAAAAAAGTATAACGAAATATTTATTATTTATTGTTGATAATATCGAATATTATTATTATTTAACTTTATAAGAAGTTCATTAACATTATTTACTTACCTACTTCTGTCTATTCCGGACTGTAAATGTTTAACGAATAAAGACTATAGAAGAGAACAAGAAAAAAAAAGTCATTTTCTTGCTCTGAAGCACACATACACGCAAATATAACGTACTTGATTGTATATTTAGGTCATTTGTTTCTCTTCTATGTTCTCGGTCATTAACAAATGTACTCGTATTTTAAATCTTCAATCTTTTTATATCTTGCTAGAACACTAAATAAAAAAAAATCATTCATCTGATTAATTTATGTTTTATTAATTAGACATTTAACTCAATTGGTTAATCTCTTTTTAAGTCAAAATTAATATTGTCATATTTAGAAAAGAAAAGAAAAACTAAAAGAACTTTTTTTATCATGCCATTGAGGACGAAAAATTTCATAATCATAAACATCTATTTCTACTATTATCGATATTGACATCAGCTAATCATTATGTACTTAATATATTTTCTTATTCGTGATTTCTCTCATAACAATAGCTATCTTATACTACCAGTTACTTCTATCGTTCTAATGTCGAACAGACAAGTACACATTATTTTTTTTCTCATGTTTTGCTTGTCCTCTATTCTTTTTTTTTTCTTTTTTTTCTTTCTCTTACTTGACACAATTTTTTTTTCTCTCTCTTCTAGTCTATCTTTATTATATTCTCCTCGTTTATATGCGTGCGTGCAATTCATTTCAAATTGATCATGTTTATTTTTATGTTTTGTTTTTTTTGCGTACAAAAGAAAATATTTTGAATATTAAAAAAAAATATTGTGCTTTATTAATAAATACTTATCTAAGAATAAAAAATATTGATTTTATTTATTAGGTACTGATGACAATCTGTATAGAAGTTGATGTCTATCTAAATTTGGAACTTTTATCATAAAATAGAGTTCAAAGAGAAACATATGTCACAAGTATCAATCAACATATAAATATGACATCATCAGTAATAGCAGCAATAATGTTTTCTATACCAAATAACCTTTTATATGTTGAAGTATGGATTCATATAGGATTAATAAAGTCTATCATATGAGAGAAAAGAACATGAACACTTTGAACTCATATATTATGGAAAATGAAAAAAAAAAAAAAACATCTATTATAATTATTATTCTAATCATCTGATCTAGAATTTAGCAAACTATATGAACTGTTTATTAATTAATACTTATAGAACAGTATTGACATGTTAAATAACAAGCTATAAAAAAATTACAGATGTTAAGAATATAATCATTTTTGATTTATAGGTCTGTCAAATTTTTTCAGTTCTATTTATAGTAAAAACAGTTGTAAATTAGATAGACTGCAGTTGTTAACCTTCAATAATAAATAGAAAAATATATTACTTTTAGTTGATTAATTATTAATTCAAAACTAACCGTTTTTTTTTTGTATCTATTAACTTTATACTTTTAAGTGTAGAAAAAAAACCAAAAGATCTGTAAACAATATATGTGATTGTTAGTTTTAATAATTCATAGAATAGTTATTTCATGATTATTTTCTGCTTTCTTATTATTATATTTCATCATACTCTTTCTCTTCCTTTGTATCATAAATATTATTATTTGTTCTATATGACTTTTTTTTTTTTATAAAAGAATATTATAAATTTATTATTTGATTTTACGCAGTTATGTGATACTTGACTAGTTTGAAGATTTTTATTATTATTAATCTTCGATTAAATTATAATACATTGAAAATAATATTATTATTCTATTTAAATATATCATATTAGTTGTAATGACTTTATTTAGTAGATTTTAAATAAAAAAACTTAAAATTATATTTTAATTAAATATTTTTTTTTCTAATCAAAAATTAAAATCTTTGACAATTAGCAAAAAATTTCACTTCAAAAGTCACTATAGTAAATATCCTGTTTATTTATTCTACCATAAATTAATCTAATTTTGAAAGAATGTTATTTATATATTCATAGGATATTAATTATTATTATTATTATTTTTGGAAAATATTTACAAAGTTTGAGGAAAAAAAGAAATCTATTTACTGTAAATGTTTATCGACAACAACAACGAGTGTATTATACCTCTCCGTATCTGTAATATAGTTCGAGTTGAAACTATTGGAAATGATAATGCATATGTTTATCATCAGTTATTGAAGATTCTTTAATTAAATTTTTTTCATTTTTAATATCATTTCTAACTATTTGATTTGTTGTTTATGATTTTTGATTCTTTCATTTATTGTAGAAATTTTTTGATTTAATAATAAATCAAACAAAAAAAAGTAGTCATGATAAATGATTTTTAATAAATCAAAGAAACTTTTTTTTTTTTGTTGATTTTTTGAAACATTTAATGATGATTGTAAAATATTTTTTATCTAGTTTTTCTATATCAAATTGAGAATTATCATCATTTAATATTGATGATGAATGACTTATAGATTTATTATCTAATAAATTCAATATTGATATTTCTCTTTTTAATATTGGTTCATTTACATGAGTTAAATCAATAACAGATGGATCAGTTAAATAATAATTCTACCATCTATGAAAAAAAACAAAATATATTTATTTTGTTAAAATTCTAAATAAAATTACTAATATACTTTAATATTATTATTAAGAACAGCATCAATAAGTAATGTTTGTCCTTCAGATCCTAATGCATTTGAATTAACACCAGATTTTAATAGAAGATGAGCAGCTTTAAATTTATTTTTAGTTACAGCTAAAATAAAAAAAAAAAATTCCATTTGAATAACATTTTTAATAAAAATATTCAAAGTACATAGAGTAGAAATTTGCAATATTCCGTAGACCGTAAGAGACATTATTGAAATACGATCGAATAACATCGCATTCTTATATATAAACTACTTCCTTATTACATTTCTCGAGGATTAAACAAAAAAAAAGATAATAAAGAGATATGCTTTACAATCGATAGAATAAAACAATCTTCCTTTGATTAGTACCAGCTGTTTTTTAATCTTGTATGAATTGGACTAACTCATTTTTTTTTTTGTTTTCAAAATCGAACCATAATTTGTTATTCAATAATTAGAACATTCTTATTGATTTAGTTTCAAACTCGAAATCGAACTGACATGCTCTAATTAAGTTAGAAATATTTATGGAAATATGAAATATTAGATTAAAAAATGTATTTCTTTTAATCAAAATTAATTTAAATGTAAACAAAATTGAATCTAGATCAAGGAATTAACATTTTATTTTATTTTTTTAAGAAAGGTCATGTTAAACTTTGAAATAGATTTTGTACTCTTTGTCTATTTTTTTTACGAGTAATTTATCGATTCAGATATTTCAGTAGTCATTGGACTTTTCCTTTACTTTCTAATATTAGTATGGGGAAAAAAAAATGATGACGAATAGTTATTATTCTTTGTCTATTTTATCGACTTGTTTTTTCATATCAATATTAGAAAGAAAAAGAAAATAATCTATATATGTATATAGTTATGTTTGTTTTTGTTGTCAAATCTACACTAAAAAGAAATATTCCAATGACTATCGAAACGTCTAAATAAATAAATTATAAGTAAACAATACAGAAAGAGCACAAAAGTCTATTTCAAAGCATAACATGGAATATATAAGAATCAAGAATGTCCTAAAATGGCAACAATTGAAGAAGGACACAGTGACCTAGTTAGTTATTTTGGACGAGCGAATTTCTAAAAATTGTGCCATCTCTTCCACGCGGAATATTCCTAATAAGAATAAAGTATTGTTTAATAAAATTCTATATTAATATGAATGTTATATAAATCATATTGACTTAATTGATTAAGAGCGTATCTCATACGTAATTTTTTTCACTTGATTTCTTTTTAATGGTCATAATTAAAATAATTCATTACAGTTGTCATGTTTTATTTTTTGTTTATTATCAAAAAAAGAACGAGACTAGTCATGACCTATGCCAAAAAAAAGGTCATAATAAGTCAGAGTTAAATGATATGTTTTAATAATCAAAATATTGATGAATCGAAATCCTTAGAGACTTGTGTCATTCATATTCTTTTGCTCTATTGGCAATATTATTTGCATATACTAAAAATATCATCGAGAAAACAATATTTGTTTTATAAAAAAATTTTTTACACTTCAAAAAACTCATGACATATTTTCATATAAAAAAAAAGAAATTGTCATAATGGAAAATGTTTATACTTTTGGAAGGGTCAATAGATTATAATAAAACAAACGATATGATTAATTATATCAATTTCATCTAGCAAAATGTATTCATTAATCATTATAATAAAACTAGAAAATGAGTTAAATGTTAGACAGACAATTCATCAACAAAAAACAAAAATGAATAAAATCAAATTTCCATTTTCTTGCTAAATAAAATGAGATTGACAATATCAATTAGAAGTAAAGAGTATTGTAATAGAATTTTCACAAGACAATGAATTTGCCAAAATGAAGGAACGTCTCAAGATATCATCTTGAATGGTTCTTTCATAGCAAATTCAAAGATAACAAACATTAAATATGAGAATGTTTAATAAATTTTGTTTATTCTAAAACTTTTACCTAATGCAAACAGTTACAAACCATCCTTATCTTCACATTGTGTTATGTAAATTAAATATGTAAAAAAATTGAGATTTTGTATGAAAAACTAAAACTTAACTTTATCAATGAATTTTGATATTAAAATCAAAATCAAATGTTATTTGATCTTTTTAAATCTTAATCTCATCTTTCGTATTAATACATTATCCAAATAAATCCATTATTTTAGTATAATTCCTACTTTTCAATATGTTTGACTCTTTTATCTATCTTGATTTCTTTTAAAAACAAAAAAATCTTTAGAAAATTTGATTTTGTTTTACTCAATTAAAAGTAAATAAATTACCTTCATGTAATGAAGTTCATCCTATAATGTAAAAACAAAAAATTATTATATAATAAATAATCAAACTATTGTTTTTTTTTACCAGCACTATTTTTTAATGCTTTTTTTAGTTGTTTTAAATCTCCTTTTTCTTGCAGCTATATGAAGAATAATTTCACCATGTCGATAAATTTTTGTTGAACGTTTTTGTAAAGATGATGATTTTGAAAGAACTTCTTTTTTTTTTATTTCAAATTTTTAATATTCCCCTACTATTTGATTTATTACTAGCTGTTAATACATTTAAGTACAACTAATTGTTGACATTCACTAATAATAAAACGAAAATTATTTGTAGTTGAATTTTGATGTTTTATTTAATAATTGAATATTTGAATTTGAAATATTTTTACTATCATCATTAGATTTATTACTAATTGAATAAGATCATTTTAAGCAAAAATTAGATAATTAATTAACTTCATTTGCATTCATTTTATTGGTGAAAATATTTCTTCAATCGAATTTTTATATTTATATAAGATGTCACTTTATAAAAAAAAAACCTTCTACTCTACCAATCAGTCAATTTTGAAAATTAATATCAACATCAATTGTGATATAGAAACAAAAAAAAAAATTTCAACTATAAAATAATGTATAATAATAATAATAATCAACAATCGACATCATTAGAAAGTGGAGTACCATCTGTAGGATCTATTGTAAGTATACAGATTTATTTATAATATAATTAAAATAAATATTTATTTTTAGGTTTGGGCTGCAGGACGTTCTCGTGCACAACAAGCAATTAATCTTTATGCTAATCTTGATTATCTTCGTCCATATTTTGATGTCGAACCACGAGAAGTTGTTCAACGGTATAGAAGCAAAATAAAAAACGAAATTTTTTTTTATAGATACATATTATATTTTTGATAATTGATTAATTTAGTTTGATCCGTTCATTAATTCCAAGACGTATATCTCGTGAAGAAGTATAAAAAAGATTTAAAAAAAAAAGTATTATTATTGTTTTAAATTTAGAATGTTAAACCTGAATTATATGGACCATCAATGATTGTATTTACATTAGCAGCTATTCTTATTTATCAAATGAAATTATCAAGTCATTCCGTTGTATGTAATATATATTAAAATAAAAATTATTTGATTTTTGTTTTTTTTTTTTTTGTAAACTTTATTTTATTATAGCAAGATGGTACATTAATTGGTACAAGTTTTCTTCTTTGTTTTGGTTATTGGATTGGTTCAAGTTTTGCTATATCAACTTTTTCATTTATTTGTAATACACAACTTACTCTTATGCAAATTCTTAGTATTAATGTTAGTCAAAAAAAACATAAAAAAGAAGTTTATATTAATATATATTTATTTTTTAAGGGTTATGCACTATTCAGTCATTGTATTGTTTTACTTCTTGCTACATTTATTCATACGGGTTATGATCATCTTTTATTTTATGGTCTTTGGACAATTGTTAGTGGTATAGCAGCACTTCGATTGGTACGATTTTTTTTTTGTTTTGTTTTATATTGGATTTGGTAAGAAATTTTTGTCGTAAAGAAGATTATGCTGAGCGTTTGGTGGCGAGTAAGAGGGATTATTCATTGGAAACTAATTGCACTATCACTGCTGATCTCTATTGCCAGCAATTAGACCGGGTTGCGGCAAAACTTCAGGGGAAGCAGGATAGAATTTATTTTTTGCATGACAATGTCAGACCCCATATTGCAAAATTCACGCGTGAAAAATTATTGGAGCTCGGATGGGTTACGGTTCCACATCCATCTTATTTTCCAGACTTGGCTCCTACGGACTACCATTTGTTCCGTTCTCTTTCTAACTATTTGAAGGAGAAAAAGTTCGACGACGAAAACGACCACGTTGGCTAAAAGTCGCAGAACTTCTACGAACGCGGGATCCTTTCTCTATCAGAGCGTTGGCGACAAGTCATAGATAGTAATGGAGCATACATTGTTGAAAGCTAGATGTATTCTTGATATTAAAAAATAAAAAGAAAATTTTCAAAAAAAAACGACAAAAATTTCTTACTAACCCAATACAATAGATGACAAGTAGATTGTAGTCAAAGTTTCTATTATATATCATATTTAAATTGAAAATGATACTTGAGATGAAGGACAGACATTTTACAGTTGTTGACTTAATAATTGACTATTTGAAGTATATCCAACTGAAAACCAAATAATGGATGTTCAACTTTTCGAAGTTTTAAAGATAAAATACTAATTTCAATCAAAATTTTGTATTATTTTCCAATATAGATTTCATGTATTTCTAAACCTTTAAGAAACGTGAAAATTTACAGTGATGATAGTCGTTAATTATATTATCAATTTTTGTTGTCTAAAAATTAAAGATAAAATTCTTCTTTACAAAATCATATAAGAATTAGAATAATCATTTGAGAATGACTCATGTATACTTACTGTTAACAAATAAAATAATGAGTATATTATTTTATAGACAAATATTTTGTTATATATTTTCAAATAAGTTTTGAAATTCAATATTCAAAATGATTTAATACTAAGTGAATATTTTTTTTTATTAATAGGCATTAATAATAATGTTTCGAACAGTTAATCCACGTTATCGTTTTCTTCTTGGTATTCTTATTATAGCTATTCATATGTTCTTTTTACTTTATCTTCATTTTGCTTATCATACAATGGCTGAAAGTATATATTTTTAAATATAAATCTCTTATATATTTTTTAATATTTATTGATAGCTGTTGCACATGCATTAAATAATGAAGTGATTGATTCAACTGTTAAACCAGTTTCTGTTGTTCTTTTTCAAGAAACAAAATCTAAAGGTAAAGATTATTTATTTAAATATATTTTCATTTAATAATGATATTTTATAGTTCTAATTCAACGTATTCACAATGTTCTTACAAATTCAAGTAAAACTACAACATTCTATTCAACAACATTCAATACAACTATCAAAGCATAAATAAAATAAAACTATTTTCATTGACATATGACATAATAAAATTAATAGATCTCATCTTTTTCTCTTTCTGCTAATTCTTATTAAATTAATATTTGAACAAAAATAATAACATGTCTTTTTTTTTAGTGAATTTATATTTAATAATTCTATTATTTAGATAATCTATTATGCGTCTTTATTGTCTATCAGATGATCCAAATTTACCATGTTTTATTTTAACAATAAATGGTCGTTCAATATTATTAGATTTTCCATTACCAATTGATCATTTACTTGATTATTTACCAATACCATCACCAGGTTGTTTAAATAGATTTTCATCATTACCTAAATATAAATTATTATCATATAATAAAGAAAATAATCTTCCACAACAAATAAATGAATTACGTTTATTACATAATCAAATATATGTTTATTCACCAATTGAATTTTATACATTAGATTCTAATCAATATAATTTTTCATTAATTGATATTATACTTATATCAAATTATGAAACATTTCTTGCTTTACCATATTTATTTAAAAAATATAAAAATTTAAATGCACAAATTTATTTAACTGAACCAACATATCGTTTTGGTCAACAACTTATGTATGAATTAGTTACATATGTTGAACAACAATCAAAAATGATACAAACAAATAA